ATAGTTGTAGAATTTTGTCAACAATAATCTTCTGAAGTAATTGTTTAACAAGTTTTAACACGAGCATAAGCATTTAATTCAGTTTCACAATCATATGTCTCACCATTTTACTGAAATACGCTTCAGATTTTTATCTCTCTCCAAAAATATTTGCATTCGGATCAAAGTAGCGTTTACTTTGTAGAGAGCTTACACCATCTGCTTTTATAATAAATCTGCTGGCATTCGACCGTCGCTCGTGACCACTGCTGCGATCGCGTTCGCCATGGGGCGCACCTGCTTTTGTGAGGAGTGATGTGTTTGGATTATTTCGATTATTTTTGCTGCTATAAATTTCCACGTAACAAGCCACTTTTTTCGAGCTATTGCTTGTGGCGAGGTAGTTTCTGAAAAATAAGTTGATCGCTCAGTGGCTTTACCTGATGAGATAAATAATAGTTTATTTTTATTTTTTTAAAGTGATTTTGTTGACCTTTCCTATACTTTGCACTCCTATCGTGTTTTTGTATCGTTTGTTGTTGTAACATTCTGACCCCGTGCCCCTACTGGACAACTGTGAAAAAGAGTGGGACCGTCACAGCCAGATTTTCTGTGAAAAAGAGCTTTGCAGCTAATCGGATTCCTCCTCCAGTCTAACGAAAGCATCCGATTCTAAAATATTCTCATCATGGCAATGCGACCGTTGTGATGATACTGGACATTTCAAAAAAAATATAGCTTCTTGTAGCACGTCGGATTCCTCCAGCACAAATGGACATTTTCTCATTCTGAAGGGATGGCCAGTGCTTTAGGAAACGTCGCGACTACGGATGGCGCCGAGGGCCGGCCCCCCCCTCCCTTGTCAGGCGCTGCAAAAGCGGCTGGCACGTTTTGCGTTGCGATAACGCGTCGAGCGGGCACGTGTGCCGAGTTTGCTGCCGAAGCGATAGCCTGGCTACGGCGAGTGTTGTAAATGCTGCACGTCGCTGATAGTCGCGACACCTTTGACCTAACCTTAGCTGCCGTCACGCTCCACCCCCCGCCAACCCCCAGTCATTTTCTGCGGTGCCTCCGTAAATTTGGCAAAGCAGGCGGCCGGTGCAGCTGCGCTGTGTCGAGCGGCGACCGTGTCGCGCCGCGGTCGATTGTCGATTAACGGCGATGCAAGATATGCGGTAATGCAGACAGCTGGAGAAGTTGTATAAACATTATTTTTTACCGTCATGGTAAAAGTGAGCATAATTTGCGGATGGGTGGAGCCTTTAAAGTGCAGCGGGAATGGAGAGGGTCTGAGGTGGCGAGGGTGTATCCGGTGTAGGTGGTCAGGGAACTGGAGTTACACAAATCGGTTGTCTCACTTTACTCCCTCGCCTGGTATGCAGGAGGTCGTGCATTCGATGCCAACCCTGACACCTGCCTGTATTTTTTGAGTTTGCATGTTATTCCCCATGGTCGCCTGGATTTTTCTCCGGGTCCTCCGGCTGTTCCCTTCACATTTAGAAACATGCATTTGAAGTGTTTACCTGCTTTACATTTCCACGCGATGATAAGCCACTTCGTTGAGCTATCGTTTGTGGCCAGGTCGCGTCTAAAAAAGAGCTGTGTAGCTCAGTGGACTAGACCTCGTAAAATAAAAAAAAATAGTTAAATAGTTGTCATAGTTTTTAATAGAAATCTTGGCGTGCGCATTGCATCCTAACTGCGTTGCAGCCGGAGAGAAAAAATGCTATTAAAGTGAGGAGGCAAAGAAGTTGAGGGAACTTTGCGAGTGACCTCGGTGTGATGCTACTGTGGAGGCATCTGTGGTTGTACCGTGCGATAACCCTCCGGTGCGTTCCCACATTTTACCGCGAGTCGTCCGGTACGACGTCCGACGTTTCGGTCCGCGTGCCCGGGGTTGCTTCTTCCGCGACCGAATTCGTGAGGCGCTCAACGTCGCAGGAGGAGGACATTGCTCCGCCAAAGACTGCGTGGCATGACCTGAAAACGCATAGCGATGCCCATAGACTCACGCAGAGACCCATAGACTCGCGCAGAGACCCATAGACTCATGCAGAGACCCATAGGCTCACGCAGAGACCCATAGACTCGCGCAGAGACCCATAGGCTCGCGCAGAGACCCATAGCTTGTTGTCCTGCCCCCACACCTGTGATTTGCATGGTTGGCCACTTACGGTGCGAAAAAAGTTCAACATACTGGACATGCACCTCCGGTTTGTACGAGTCGATGCTCACCCGAATGAGAGTGCAACCAAAGTTTCGGAGGGGGAAACAGGGCACCTAGATATTTAACAGCACCTACCCCCCTCGCATCCTACTTTTCACCTTCCCCCTCTCACCTCCGATTGGCTACGTGACGGTGCGAAAGAAGTTCAACGTTACGTACGTAATGTAACTGCTTCACGACGGCCGGTCCCGAATCGCGGTGCAGGTGCCGGCTTATCCGTCGCATTCTGTGCCAGCAGCTATACACGCGGCGGTATCTCTCACTGGTGCTAGTTGACGGAGCGCGCCGCATGAAGGTTACCGCGCGCTCGGCGGCGTTTTTGCGGTTTTTGGATTTTTTGACACGTGAATGAAGGGACGGAAAGCGCGCTTCAGTGGCAAGACACCTGGCCGCGTCGGGTTAATCCAGGTGAAAGCAAAATCCGTGCGGGCCGAGGGGTTAGCCAGCGTGGCCCACGACTCTCGCGGTGCTTGCTTCGCGCTGGAATCTAGAGTACGTCGTCAAAGTCTTGAGCGTTAGAAGCTATAAAACTTTACATTTTTTTATTATCTTCTTGGTTCTTTCGGTAAAGTCACGTAGAAGGGACATAATAAAATAAATATAACATAATAAAATAATTCTCACGACGTTTCGGCCACAACGCAAGCAGCCATCCTCAGGTGAAGAACAGGTCTGACGCTGTCTTTCCGACAGACCTGTTCTTCACCTGAGGACGGCTGCTTGCGTTGTGGCAGAAACGTCGTGAGAATTATTTTATTATGTTTTATTTTTATTATTTTATTTTTTCCCTTCTACGTGACTTTACCGAAAGAACCAAGAAGATGAATTCCTGCAGTCGCGAAAGCTTTAAATCGAAATTTTTTATTAAACCAAGGAAGGCTCGCTTAGCTATGAAGCTCTTTATTCAGAAGCAACCTCGCCACAAATGATAACACAACGAAGTGGCTGATCACCATGTGGACCTTTATAGCAGCCAAATTACTCTAAACGCATGTTGTTTCTAAATGTGGAGGGAAAAACCGAAGGACCCAGAGAAAAAGCCACGGGATCACGGGGAGAGAGAGACACACAGACTCTAAATACACAGCAGGCATCAGGGTCAGGATCGAACCCACGACCTCCTCCATACCAGGCGAGGTAGTATTTGCGATTGTGTTTTAAGTTTTTTTTATATACATTGCAAAATTGCGGTATGTGCAAGCGGAACATATATGTTGGGTGAAGTGCACTGTGTGTTCTAAAATACTGCCTTCTACACACAGTATGGCACGGTTGTTTTTTTTATTAACAGTAATCCATTTTACGGAGAATACTTTAAGCAGTAATAACAGGAAACGTCGCCATTGTTCACGTTCTACTTTGTTGCGACGGAGCGCCTCTTCGAAGCCAAAAATGGGTTTTGTCCATTTCGTGAGGCATTGGCGTTTGAAAGGGAAGCTTATGGCTTGCACTCCCTCCGGCAGCGACTGAGTAAACAGCTCTGAGAACCTGGGTTTAATCCCGGCCACTGCTTTGCGTGAATCGATGGCCCTCCAGCAGAAGGTTTGATTGCAGCTTGGAGGGTCTTGCTCAACTGCAGGCAAACTGCACAGTGTCTGGCCAGTTGAGACGTCCATTTGTGATTTGGTGTCATTACCACCCTTGAAAGGTGAAACTGAAATGAGAAGATTTAAGAATTGTGCTTTAGCCATTGACAGAACCTGTTTGAACATTGGCAACCACCCACCTCATGCTGGTAATGTCCATTTCAATTGCTGCAAAGAAATGCCTAGATCAGGGGTCGGCAACCTACGGCTCCGGAGCCGCATGCGGCTCTTTACGGGCTGCTTCTTGACGATATGTACGTATGTACTCAGATGCATTGCGGCTCTTGAAATACTGAATTTTGTACCAAATTGGAAAGAAATGGCTCTTCTTGTTATTTTGGTTGCCGACCCCTGGCCTAGATAGTCGTTTTGGTTTACAACTTCCTGTAAACGGTGGCTTTAACTCGTGAGTTAAAATCCTCCACTCCTCTTGAAAATTGTTGTTTAAAAGACACCGCTATTGTTAACATATCGTACATTCTGTACAAAGGAGCATTTTTTAAATGTGAACATACCTATGTTTTGTTTGGGCGAATGTACAGAATTCACAAGTGTGTGTATGTATGTTGAACTTCTTTCGCACCGTACATAGCCAGCCGTGCTAATCAGAGGTGCGAGGGAAGGACAACAAACTAAACACAAAAAGCAGTTCTAAAGAAATGAGTTTTCAACATTTTTCAATCTAGATTTAAAAGTGCACTGTGTAGAACTATGCGGCGCGTGCGTAGCGCAGGTGGCAGAGATAACGCAGCGTGTACCGTGCCTGCCACACGCGTTGCGCTTCACAAACGTGGATGCACGTGTGTGCTGCGTGTTGCCCATTGTGAGCGGTGGCCTTGGTGGAGCGTGCTCTGCTGTGCGCTAGACTCGCAGCGCTTGCGAACAAAACCGTCTCATCTCAACCGTAATGCTCCGAGACAAGTAGAGTCTGCAGGTACCTTAGGCAGAAAACAAACATATTAAAACCATCAGGGTCTGAGAAAAGTTTGGGCGTTTTCTATCCCCGTAAGTAGTTCACAAGCGTCCCGCGATGCCAGTGCTGTCCACGTGAGATTTCACTCATTAAAACGTATCCTTAGCATTACGAAACTCATCAATACGGCTCATTCTTAAGCGCGTATTTGTTTTTTGCACCGTTTGAACCCTGCGCAACTGCCAATATCCCATTTATACCGTCGTCGCGTCAACCCGCGCGTTGGCTTCCGCAGGTATTCCCAGGAGAGCAAGCGCGCCAGTCTGGGCGCCTCCTACGACACTTCCACGCGCATTGGCGGCGGCAACGGAATGGCGATGCCGGGCGGCCCCTCGTCACTCCAGGACCCTCGGCTCGCCGGCAGCCCTCGCTCCAGCCTGGGCCTGCAGCCGTCCGATCATCCTCACGGCCTGCCTAGCCCGCGCGGCTCCTACACGGGCCCGTTCGACAAGTACGCCAGCCCGCGCTCCAGCCTCGTGCTGGCACCGGGCTCTCTGTACGCGAGCCAGCGCGACGACGCGGCGGGCGCGGCCCCCGGCAGCGCCCGTTCCAGCCTGGGCTACGGCGGCGAGCTGCCGGCCAGCCCGCGCGCCAGCCTCATCGGTCACTCCGCGGAAGCGGCGGGTGGTGCGGCCGCCGCTGTTGCCGCGGCCGCGGCGGCCGCGGCTGCTGCGGTGACGGTCGGCGGCAGCAACCGCACGAGCGGGATCAGCATGGGCTATGACGACCGTTGCCCCGCGATGAGCCCGCGCTCCAGCACGGGCAGCCAGTACTCGCACGCTGTCAGCCCGCGCGAGAGCTACACCAACTACACGGGCGACTTCGACGCCTTCCGCGTGCCGCACGGCCTCCACGCGGGTGCCGGACACGTGGGTCTGCAGCAGCTGCAGCAGCAGCAGCACCAGCAGCAGCACCAGCAGTACCAGCAGCAGTACCAGCAGCAGCACCAGCAGCAACAGTACCAGCACCCGTTCCACGCCGTGGTCAGCCCGCGCTCAAGTCTGTCGAGCCACAGCTCGCGCAGTTCCCGGGGTTCTGGCGCCGGCTACCCCGAGCTGCAGCTGCCATCACCGCGCTCCTCGCTGGGCCACGAGGAGGCGGTGCCCGTTCCCGTGGAGACGGCGCAGATGCTGGCGTGCACGCCGTTCAGCCAGCAGAAGGCCTACGCCGCCCACCCGCTCACGATGTCAGGTACCGACGGAGCCGCCCCGCGTGCTGTGGCCACTGTGACGCCGGTGGGGAAAATGAAAGGCGCGAGGTCTTGAGCAAGTGAACGAGTGAATGCGTACGTTCATAAGAATTCTCACAAGGTGATGGTCCGAAGGTTACCGAGTGACTCAGAGGTCAAGAGCGTCGAGCTGGCACCGATAAATAAGGGTCCTGGCTTTGAATTCAGGCAGCTGTGCCTGTGATTAAACCGGCTTCTCAACTGTAGCGAATGTGATGTTCATAGCTCGGTTGCCAATAACCGCACAACAACAACAAAAAATCCATTGCTTAAAATTGGTTCTGCTCTTACTTTAGTAAAAAAAAATCCAGCTCTCTGAGAGTTAAAATATCAGTTTGTTGACGAGTGGGGTGAGAAGATGCTGTTCTCTATTGTGTGAACCAGAGGTCACTTGAAGGGATTTCAGAGGCAGCTCTAGGGTGTCCGCTTTCGCAGGCCGTTATCTCACTTGAAGAGTTTTTGCGCTGCTTTGTGAGATCCGAATGGGTACTTTGTCTCTTGATTTGATGCCGATTAGCGCAATTGCCATTCAACTGGAGAAAAATTACCAAAAACAAACCCCCCTTTTCCCTTCCAAGCAAAACACATGGCAAATAGCCGACTGTGGCACAACGTTTGCTATGTGCCGTCACGAATCGCAGGGAATTAAATTATAAAAAAAACCCATTGGGTTCCATCGGTCTAAGGGCTGTGGTGGAATCGGCTTGGACGTGGATCGTAACCTTCGTGCAGTGCACGCTGCGTGGACCCCTCGTGGCACCTGTGAGTCACTTGGGACCCCTCCTCTGGCACGTCCCACAGATCACTCGGGGCCCCTTTGTCTGCTTCCCTCCTTTGTGACGTGCGAGAGGCCTCCTGCCTTGCATTGTTTCTGCACGACCCCGTCACGTAGTGGCCAGCCGTCAGTAAATTACCGATGGGCATTTCCTTTCTCGCAACGCTCGCGTGCCACGCGTGTCCGAACGAGTTCCCACCTGCAACTGCGCATTACGATCGGAGGAGACGGCATATCACAACCGACATAGTACTGCCCGTAGACTCAACATTGCCCCCCATGGACTCAATACTGCCCGTAGACTCAACACTGCCCATGGACTCAACACTGCCCGCAGACTTAACACTGCCCGTAGACTTAACACTGCCCGTAGACTCAACACTGCCCGTAGACTCAACATTGCCCATAGACTCAACACTGCCCGTAGACTCAACACTGCCCGTGGACTCAACACTGCCCATGGACTCAACACTGCCCGTAGACTCAACACTGCCCATGGACTCAACGCTGCCCATGGACTCAACGCTACCCATAGACTCAACACCGCCCATAGACTCAACACCGCCCATAGACTCAAGACCGCCCATAGACTCAACACTGCACCATAGACTCAACACTGCCCATATACTCAACACTGCCCATATACTCAACACTACCCATAGACTCAACACCGCCCATAGACTCAACACCGCCCATAGACTCAAGACTGCCCATAGACTCAACACTGCCCATAGACTCAACACTGCCCATAGACTCAACACCGCCCATAGATTCAAGACTGCCCATAGACTCAAGACTGCCCATAGACTCAACACCGCCCATAGACTCAACACCGCCCATAGACTCAACCACCGCCCATGGACTCAACACTACCCATAGTTTGTTGTCCTTCCCCCGCACCTCCGATTCGCACAGTTGGCTTACGTACAGTGCGAAGGAAGTTCAACATACATGCTTTTGACTACCGCTATTACCACGTGTGATCAACCCTCTAGATGACGATGTTCAACTTGGACCATTTTCTATTTGCTGCCGTCGTTTCCATAGCGCTGTCGATCTTTACGTAACATGCAGTCTGCGCGCACAGTGGACGACACGTTCAGAGAAGCTTTGTAACGCCTTCCTTCCACTGCGCGCATTGCAAGCATGCCTTGAAATAATACACGCGCTTGTATGTGTGTGTGTGCGCGTGCGTGTCTCTGTGCACCACGCATAAAATGCTTAGTGTTCACAAGTGTAGAACTATGCGGCGCGTTGTAGCGCAAGTGGCAGAGATAACGCAGCGTGTACCGTGCCTGCCGGTTGCACTTCACAAACGTGGATGGGTGTGTGTGTGTGTGTGCTGCGCACTGCCCACTGTGAAGCGGTGCGCTTGGTACCTCGCCTGGTATACAGGAGGTTGTGGGTTCGATCCCGACACTGACGCCTGCTGTATATTTTGAGTTTGCATGGTCTCCCTGTGGTCGCTTGAATTTTTCTCGGGATTCTCCTGTTTTTCCCTCCACATTCATAATCAACATCACGCGTTTAGAGTATTTGGCTGCTATTTATTTTCATGCGATGATAATTCACTTCGTTGAGCTATCATTTGTGGCCAGGTTGCTTCTCAAAAATACCTATTGTGGTTCAGTGGGCTTTACTGGTAAAATAAAAAAATTTTATTGAGTAAAAAAAAATGTAGTTTTTTTATTTTAGTTGACCATCTCATCTCAACCGTGATGTGCTAAACGACACACATAGAGGCTGCAAGTAACGTAGACCAAAAAAGACCTTATCGGTGAAGTTTTGGGCAACAGCCCTTCTTCATATGTAATTTCCTCTTTCGGATAGCGTTGTTGTGATTGCGCACCACTGCCAACAGCGGCAGCAGTGTCGCCCGCTGATTTAAAGAGGCGTTTGGAAGCTAACCCCCTCTCCAGGTCACAGTCTCATCGTGGCGGAGGAAAGATACTGGAGGGCACTAAGCTTATCCTGTTCCTCACCGCAGCATCGCAAATGTTGCGCACGCAACATTTCGATAGGCCTAGTGGAAGTCTCCACCCACCATCGTGCAGGTTACGGTAGCGGTGCGCGTATCACTCGCCCCCCCCCACCAACCATACGACTCGCCATCCCAAGATGTCTGGGCATTTCCTTCAGATTTATTCGTCACGTCTTAGTGCCGAAGGATGAGTTGCACGGCGGTCATTCCTCGCAGCCGCGCGTTGCGTAGGCATGGCCCCGGCGCTGCGTCACAAACAGGATGTGGTGGGAGCTTCCCTCGCACTGATAAGCCTGGCCAAAGATTATCACCCACGTGGACTCACTTTGAGGAACTTGTGTCCTACATATTTTTTGTTATCAGCCAGAGCCACCACTCACGTCATCACAGACCATGTTAAATTGGATGTAAACTCGTTATTATCATCTCCCACTCATCTGATGAGCACGGTTGGCTACGTACTGTGCGAAATAAGCTCAACACACACACGTACATTAAGCTGGTTTTACCAGGGAAATCCTCATTGAGTCTCAAAACTCATTTTCAGGAGGGGCCTGCCAAATGAGTTTGGCGGTAATAGGCCGATGTTGCCGTTTGTAATCCTGATTGAAGAATTTGCAGGTAATTTTTCAGCATGAGGATGTTTGGCCAAATATCAGTTACGTTGTGTGTTTTCAGCTTAGCATTTTTGGTTGTTGGAGAGAATGATGGATAATACTAAATATAAACATACCTCGGTTTTTATGTTCTCGCGTACGAATAACACGTTTGTTCAGTCATCCCGCCCATTGGGGTTTTCAGTACCGAAAACATCGAGCATCAGCATTCGTTCGAAGCAAGAAAACTCCCGAATGAGTTTTGACCCTCTGGGTCTCAGTTTCATTTATTTGGTATAGCCCTGTGAGCCATTTGGCTCTTGAATCGGGTGCAACCGCAACAAACAAAAAACAAAAACATGAACAAGAAAACATCTTAAAGTGACTATGCGCAGACAGAAAAATCCAGGAAAAAACTGCAAAGTATTCCAGAAAAAAAGCACCGTACACCAACAGACTTGTTAAACGAATGTTGCTGGACCAGCCAGGGTTAGGGTTAGGATGTTATCGGTGATGTGCGTTGATTATTTTCTCACTGATGTTGGAAGCGGCTGCCTACGACAAAGTTGCCCGGATTGGGCTCGCGTCTCGGAAGCCGTTCTGAATTATCACCGTGATTTCGGTTTGTGCGTGACACCTTGCACTTTGCGGGCAAGTTTTAAAGCATTTCAGTCGCGTGCTGTAGGTTTAGGTTTTTGTTGTTTTCGGCGTGGAAGAGTAGGCCAAACACCCTCTCTGGAGCTCATCTCGAGCGGGAGGATCTTCTGACAGCAGTGGCGTGTGCAAGCGGTTGCAGGACTGCACCTTTAACTGTAGATTTACAAAACCCTTTGGTGCGCCATTTGTTTGTCGATGCTGAAGAATGCGGATGATGTAAAGTTGAACTTGAAATTACTCTTTGGGTCACAGAGACCTTTGCAGCCTTGCCGGCGTTCTCATCGACAGCAGGTCCAGTCCAACGTCCAGGTGACTCTTGCAAATGAGACTCGTCCTGTTCTCTTTGCGTTTGCAGGCGGTCAAACAAAAGAAACTTGAAAGTTGCGAATCTCGTTTTGTTTATTCCCTCCGCCACCTTAATGTAGTTGGCCGCCTCGAGGGGGCGCAAGGCCCCACCCCTCTCCTCGCAGGGTTACAGCTCCTTTGTCTTCGATCAGATTTTCAGATCTTCTTCTTTCGACGCAGAGCAACAACTGCAACGTTACATTCAGGTGGTCAAGCCAGACGGACGACCGTGCCCGGAGCAGCGGTGCGATGTGTCGCCGCGATTCCTCCTTCGTATATTTGTGGATCAGACATCGAGTCGTTCCGGATGACCAACGGTCGCACCGCTCCTGGAGAGTTTTTAATTTTCCATTTGTGCATCGGGTATCTGCATCTGCTGCCATGGTTTGTGCGGTGGATGCGAGTGGAAGATGGCAGCCTTGTAGTAGATTTATTCTTTTCATTATGCCTTCCACCATCCAACAAGATTGTCACATAATCAACGATTTTTGGGTTTAGATCGCGTTTATTTATAAATGTGTCGTAACCCTCCACCACCCGACACGGCCAATCAGTAAAATGTGTCACGTTGACAAAGACAAATAGTTCACTGCTTTAGCCCACCGGTGT